AAAGCGGGTTCCAAAAGCCCGCCCCGCGCAAGCCTCCTCCCGTTCATCCGCCTCCGAAGCCGAGTGGGGATCGCGCCAGGGGTCACCGCATCCCCATGAGGGTCCTTCCCCATCCCACATCCCACCAGGAGAACGCGCTGCATCTTCGGTCCCTGCACCAGGAGACTCCCGCTTTCTTCTGCCGGGCACGCGTGGACTTCCCTCCTCTCGTGGGAAGAGATCTTCTGAGCAGGCACGGTGTTGTTGGGCAGATGGTTGGACTTGATGACCTCAGAGGTCTTCTCCAACCTATGATTCTATGATGAAACTCCCTAAAAAAATCAGCTTTTCCCCACGGAGCTGGGGCACGAGACCGGTGGGGGACGTGAAGGTCTTTAAGAGCGGATGTGGCGTTGAGGTTGAGCCTCCGGCAGCTGCGCTCCTGCCCAGCGAATCCCTACGTGGATCAGAAGGTCTCCTTCACCGTCACACCGACATAAAGGTTCAAAGGGAAAAAACCCAGAAGGTTTGGGAGCTGCAGACCCTTCCCACGGCGCCGGGAGAGGTCCAACCTCACAGCCTCTCACCTCGGAAAAGCAGCTCCTACGGGCGCAACCGTAACGCACGCGGTTTCGGGAAGGTTCTCCCAACTGCTGGTTGTCCTTTAGATGATCTGGACCAAGAGCCCTGTGTCGAGCAGTCTGATACCCAACAGCTCCAAAAGCTGGTGGTGTCCGAGCCCTCCTGCCCCCCAAAACCCCTCCGAGGGGTCCAGGCTGCGACGGGAAGAACCGCATCCATCGGCACGGCTCCAGCTCCCCGGCAGCAGCCACCACGCTGGAAGACTCCTGGCCAGGACCTTCAGCCTTTCTCCAGACGCTGAGCAGCATCTGGAGTCGCTCGACTCCAGGCAGACAGCGGAACGCGATTGCGAGCGAGCAGCCCCATCCAAACCCAGCGACGGGAGAAAGCGGCGTGGGCATGTTTTCATTGCGGAGGAACAAAACCAAAAAAACAAAAAAAAAGGGAAAAAAAAAAAAGCCCCCACCTTTATTAATTACACTATAAATACTCTCGCTGAGTTTAGTTCAGCACAAAATAGAGCTGGAGCAGAAAAAAAGAAAAATTAGTCACTCCACCTGCTCCTGCTGGGAAGAGGAATAATTTCACCAGCGATGATCCCCGGCGTACGGGAGAGCGGGGCTTTCCACGGAGGGAATCCGTCGCTTCGAGCGCAGAGGAAGCAACAGGGAGGGGGAAAAATAAAAAGGGAAATGTTCAAAAGCTCGGCTTTTCGGTTTTTAGCTGGGACTCGACAACTCCGCTCCGCTGAGCTCTGCCCAGCACCTCCCCAACGCAGCCGAGCGGAGGCAGAGCCAAACCCG